CGGGGCCGCGGCCTCCCGTGACGGGGCGGGGGGGGCGAGGAGACACCGGCGAAAAAGTCACGACAAATCTTGCATCCGAAACGTTTTCTGATGTGTCTGTGTGATACTTTGTGTGCATCTGTTCACACGATGGCACTGTTGGATTTCATTGCAGAACTGAGATACTGCATTATGACTTTTCTTTCAGAAAATGCCTTCTAATACCTTTTTGCTGCTATATAACTAATGTTAATGACACAAATATTACAGCCAGAAAAGGAGGTTTCCTTTAAAACTGTGTGTTGCAGTATTCTTTAGCAGTACTCTGGCATGGTTCAACGTTTGTTTTAGATCACAATTCATATTATTTTAATACATTACTTAACATTTACTTCATACTAGGAATTGAGCCCATCAGCGGCCCACTGTATATAATATAATATAACATATAATATAGCATATAATGGAAGCAGTAACAAGCCTGTTTTGTTTCATTTCAGGCTAAAAAGGGATAATTCTTTGAAAATAATTTTACCAAACCGTGGCCAAAATGTCAGTTATTTTCACTTAGCATCTGTTTTTGGTATGTGGCATTAGAGTGGCCAAATCTGTCAGAGACCTGTTCCAGTATGTAGTCCCACCAGGGCAACAACTTACATTCCCTATTTTGTTTGTTCCTGTTACATAGTAACAGGAGTGATACCTATCCAGCTTGGCTCAGTTTGCTGAAGTGACTCTATTTTCATATAACTATCTCCTAGCAAAAGAGAACAGCTTACCCCGACAACTGTGTATTACCTGACATTCAAGCCATAAAAACACTACTGGAAGCTAGCTGTGGACCACTCCTCTGGTAGAAGGAGAATGCTGTAGAATTGAAGAAAAAGTAGTACTGAATAGGTACAAGCTTTTAAGATGACCTTGTTTGCTCTTTGAACGACTGCAGGGATAAGTATGGACATTCCTAATGCCACCAGAGCAAGGAGGTAACCAGGAGACAGCAGGCACTCTGATGCGACTCTCAAAAAACTCCTAATATCATTTCTTTGTTTTGTTTCAAACAGAGCTTTTGTAGTATAGCCACGTTTGCTGAAAATTAATCTTACTGTGTGGAACATGAAAGCTCATTCTTTATTTTTCAAGATCGATTTCTTGAGAGGAACTCAAAAAGCACTATGCACACCCAAAGGTGAGAGTCTTCGAGTGATCTTATTCTAGAAACGAACATTTGACAATGCTGAGGTAAATATACAGTAATGGTACTGCACAGAAAAATGCAGATCATTAGTTTCTGGATGAAAAACAGCAACACTAAATTTGTTCACTATGTACTCCCAGTTTTGTAATGAGTAGGCACAATACGGGCTCCTGAGAAGTTCTTAGTACTTGTGTTTAGCCTTCCTTTACAGGGATTCCAGAAGAGGCCCTCACTAGTGTTTTTGTAGGAAACAGGGAAATTAAGTTTCTTTTCAACAAGCATTAAGTCTCAAACGAACAGCTCTGTTTTACTGGGTGAGTATAAAGTAGCAAGTGAGTAAGCATTCTTCCTTTGTGAAACCTCTATAGTTCTTCACTGAGCATATTTACAGTAGTAACACAACTGCAAAATCAGTCGTTGAAAAGGGATGGAAGAAGGTGAATCACAAAGGCCAAGTAGTAAATCTTCAGGTCTGTCAGGCTTTGCTTTCCAGGAGTTGAGTACCACTCTTTGAGGAAGTAATCTGTTCTCAAAGGAAGACTGAATGAAAAGACTGAGAAGTAGTACTATATTTCAATGAACTAGTCAGACCATCCTTTTTGACATCACTGGCAATCATCACAACGCACAGGCAGGAGTGAGGCAGAAATCTTTTGGGCCTTCTGATGTCTTCTGGAGGTGTCAGCGTTCCTGCTCTGGCTAGAGAGTTGAAAAATAAAATTTCAACCTGACCACAGAAATGCCTGCTAGAGCAATCTGGGTATCTGAAAGGGATTTTTGGACTTAGGAACTTGTCTGTGAACTAGACAGTAAGGGAAATAATATCTTTTTCAGAGTGAGACCTCTCCTGTTATAAGGAATTGACATATTTTCCAGACAAAGCCTTGCATCCGCCTTCTGATCTTGGGGTTGAAGCTGAGGTATGTTCATCTCCACAATGTGCCTTGGAGAACCTTTAAATTCTCTTCCTGAAAGACTTGCAGATATTATACAATTAGATGTATTTTTCCCTAAGGCAACTAATTATTTAATATGCCCTTGAGTTATGATACAGCAGCATTATGAAAAACTAGGGAGAGAGCCCAGATAATTCTGCGTTACAAGAGGATGTCAGAAAGTATCTCTACCTTAAGGCTTCTGGAAATACTCCCCTGGAATCTATAAACTGTGCACGGCTGAAAAAAAGAAAACTGATTATGTTCACAGCAGTATAATTCTGGTTCACAACACAGGCATTGAGAAAGGATAAAACAAGTTTATCACTTTATTTATTTTTTATTTATTTTATCGATGTATATAATGCACCTATCACCAAGTCTTTCTAGGTACACAAATAATATAAATTTAAAAACACATAAAATAATGACTCTAAATGGACAACTGAACAAATAATAATGAAGAAACTTTGTGTTTCGAGTGTGTCAAACAGATTATGAAGTATAAATACAATTAAAATTAACAGCACTAAAGCTAATTAGTAAGTATTAAGCTAAAGCTATACGATCATTTCCTAGAGCATTAGCACACTTCATTCAATTCAGCCTTATTAGCACCTTGGTACCAGTTGCTGAATAGCTCCCAACTATTATTATATCCCAATACCGAGTGTCAAAGACTTTTTAAAGTAATATGCAAAAGGCTTTTTTTCCGCCCAGCAGTTTTTTTTTTAGGTAAAATGTAAAATATACAGAAAGAAGAAAAAGTACTTGTTACTCAAGTTTCTAAAGGTTAATTACTATGTTATCTATACTGTAAGAAATTCTTCAATATTGTTGGCAACTGGAGTTGTGGGACAAGATGCAGTCTAGCTCTTCCTATGTAATTTCGGATACGTAGTCGGCAGAGCTGGCAAAGAGAAGACGGTGTAGCTGCAAAAAGAAAGGAGTTTAATTATACAACTATAAAAGCTAGTATTTTGTTTTACAACAGTTTTGTACAATAATGAAATCTCTAAAAAAGTTCATGTTTTGTAAATTCTTTATCTTTTTTCCTGTTCCTACAGTGTTTTTCCTCAAAGATATAAAAAGGGGCTGCTGTAACCTGATTAATAATCAGGCAAATATCTAAAAAGCAAAGTCAGTGAGATCCAGCAAAGAATTCATGTTTTTAATTTAAAAAACTGCACCCAGAAAATACCTGAGGACAACAACTTTAAAGATTGAAGTTGCTGGTTTTTTTCATAGAACAGATGAAGTACATGCTACAGCAATACAAGTTGTCCGTTACTGCAACAGGAACAAGCAGGTAAAATCTCCATACCTCAGAATCCCCAATCATGGTTAGTGGTACTACTATCTTATGGTAATGCCTTTGTCTCCCTACGCCCCCTCCACTCCCTCAAAATTCACACATTGCTGTACTTCTGAGGGCAATAAAGCCACACACATTCTATACCTATTTAGTTTTTTGACATCTTTGGTTTCTAAAAATCATACTAGCTTTGGTAATTTAGTGTAAGGGCCTCTAGGGCTAAATTGAGACAACCACTTCTTTTTAGAGGTTGCTGAACCAGCAAGCAGCTAAACAGCATTCACAGTACCCAGATCATATCTGGGGGCAAAAACTGAATTTTATGCACATATGCATTCTAAAGAGATGCCCATGGTTATTACAAAAATTCCTCTACTTCCTATGCATTTGGGTGGCTTATTTTCTTATCCAGTGCATACATCTGTCTGAACAAATCCATTTCCCTTTGGGATATTATCTCTAAGGCACAGCCCCTAAGAGTATGACTCCTGCTGCCCTAGGTGCTGGCACCAATGGCAACTTCACACCAGCTACTCAAGGTAAAAATAAAAAGTGTTCCTAGGCTGTCTTTTCTCTTGTTCACTATATATAAAGGCAAAGCAAGATCTAGCCCTAAGAAAATTATAGCATATACACAAATGGCATTCAGTATTATTTTGCTACCAAAAATAAGAACTTCATTTTTATGTATATCTATAATATTTAAATCATAATGCCCTTGTAGCATTTTTCATGCTCTTTGAGAGTCTTGAGTGTCAACTCTTATTTTGCAGACACTAATAATTTAGCAAAGAAAATTTAATCCAAAAAATAAACTTATTATTGTGGACCTTGTCTCATATGAGATATAATCGTATATGGTAACTCATTAATATTCTCTTTAAAAAAATATTTGTCTTTGCATTGATATGGGAATGGACTAAAACAGTTTCTATTATACCTTGTAAAAGATGTCAAGATTTTAACCAAAAAGCCATACTTTCAATACTTGCATACTTTTTACCCACAATCAAAATGAAGTGCTTTATATGTAATTAAAAAATGTATTTTAAAAAATATTGGGATAGCTGGCCAAAAGTAAATACGTATTTAATCTGAAATTAAAATATCCTGCTTCTTTTTAACAAGTTTTGAGATAGCCAATAAACATTGTACTTTAAATATCTAACTGTGTAAATACCTAATAAACATAAGATACTTTTTCAGCTTGTATAAATTCTGATGCTGCTTGGTCAACATACTCTGGCCTGAGATTATAAATATTACTGGGTATTTTTACAGCTAGAAATTAATTTAGCTAAATGTAAATATATTCACTTCATATAGCACAGTTTTAGCTTCTATAACATTTCCATATTTTTCGAAGACTACAACTAATAACTGTAAAAACATACTTATAAAGCTTACCTTCATGAAGGAGCAACAGTCTCTCCACTAAACTGCTTGGGGCAGCTAAATCTACAGGCCGCTCAAAATCTGTATTTTTGGCATTTATGTCTGCCCCAAATTCAAGGAGTAAGTTTACAATCTCTGTACTAGATTGCTGGGCAGCAGCATGTAGTGGAGTTTCCAAATGTTTTCCTTTCTGCACATTGGCCCCTGGTGGTATACAAACATAAAGAGAAAGAACATATTAATTAAAATGGTCATTAAGTAATGAGAATGTTTTATATCTTAGATCAATTAAAAAGCAAAAAAAAAAACCTATCTCCACTGTGGACCGCCACAGTGAATTTAGTTACTTCATGAATTAAACTGCATACCACTATATGTAATCATGTCACTGATTCCTTTAATCCCATATACTTATTCTAAACAGTTTTATTACTTATGCACACCTTTTTTAAAAAGAAAAGAAAGAAAAATCAAGTTAGGTAATATGAACATCATTGTTGCCCTAATTATAGAAAGTATCTTCTGCAGATGTTTAAGAAACCTTGCTCTAAATAAAAGTGCACTTTCATTACTAAACTCTTTAAAAAAAACCCACTAAACTGAGGTTTAGTATACACATTTTTATAAATACTAAGTTCATATGAGTAACACCAACTGCAAGAGGGATCTAACTTGGCCCATTTCTACAGTTTTTCAGGTGTTAAGACAGTGAAGGGTAGTAAAATAGACTCGCATCCAGTCCAGCCTTTATCATGAATTTTTCTATAAGGGAAATTAATGCTCATTAAGGTGGGGTATTCAGTTAAGAAAGCGAATAGGGGGAAATCATTAATTCCCCAAACCCAGAGAATTCCAATTGTTACCCATCTGTATTAATCAGGAATTGCTAATACACTTAATTTTAAATGGACTAAACTAATTTAGAATAATGCATTCATATTCAAGATTAAAATTGTCCATACAAGAGTGAAACAAAAATAGCTAGTATGGAAGAACTCCCCTTATAAGTAAGCTATTAATCCCCCTAAAACTTGTTTTGCCCCAACAGTTTTATTCTAGACTATCCTAGAAGAAAAAAACAAATCTTTTTTACTTCTTGAGAGAGCTTTACTGAGCTTGTGAGACCAAAAATTGCTTCTAACTTTTCTCACTGGATCAACATTTTTTGCCTTTTAAATTCCCGATTTGAGTAAATAATAATTTCACAGGCCAATACCAATTAGATTTGGATAGCTAGATTTGGGAGTACCAATTAGATTTAGAGTCTGAATAGCTCACTATTCTCTGAATTACAATTTGAGAATACTTCCACAGTATCTTTGCCTTGCTCATATCATTGTCTATTTGCTTTTAAACTTCTGGTGCATTCTCATGAACTGATGAAATATGGAAAAAAAATCAGATTGATTTGAATTATTCTCAGTTTATATACCCTTCTCTACTTCAGAGCAACAAGGAACGTAGAAAGTCCCCTTCTGTTACTGTTTTTAATGTATGGTAATATTTGAATCCCAAAATATAAGTATTTCATTTCTGGGGTTCTTAAATTTAGAAATGGTAAAGCGGGATAGTTAATCATACAACGAAACTGACTCAATGAGGAATACTTTAATGCCTACTTAAGCTCTAAATAACCTGCAATTAACTAGAAAAACTGCTAGTGTAATGCTAGCAAGGCTGTGATGGTACACTCTATCTGTAATTATTCAAATATATGTTTTAATTCATTATTCAGCAGGGCATCTGGGGATATGACACCCACAAAAGTGGTTATCAGCATAGCAAATGATCCTGTAAGAATGCAGATAGCGTCCCCGGATTTGGACTGAAACAGAGCAAACCTCCAATATCTCTTTTTTGTTTGTTTGACACTAAATTTAGAATATGAAATTTAGGATGAAATTACTTTACCTTACCTCTTCTCTTTGCAGCTTGGCCTCTCTAGTTTGTAAAAAGATGAATCAGAACATGCTAAATTATGAAAAAGGGTGGGACTACGCTGCTGAAAAAAATCTATTGAAAGCACAATGGTTACTGTTTAAAATTCCTTTCTCATTTACCTTATTTTTTCCTGAAGAAAATGAACATCTACAAAGCTGTAGTAGGTGCTGAAAATTTGAACACCCTTATTATTGGTCTTGCTCCTCTTTCCCCTCATACTATACCTTAAAAAAGGTGAACGAGTTACAATAAACCATTGTGAAAAACATTCATCATGAAGTAAACTTGCAAGTAAAGCTTTGCAAACAGTATTTCCAGTTTTGATGACTGAGCACAGCTCACTTCGGAAGAGGATACTGTAAACTTACTTTAAAATCTAGCAATATCTTTAATTAAATAATCACGTACCTGCGTAGAGAAGCTTTCGAATGCAATGGATCTGCTGCGAAACACATGCTACATACAGAGGTGTTCCTAAATGAGGAAGATCTTGGTCCACATCTATACCCCAGGATATCAGTACCTCCAGACATTCACTGTGACCTATCAGTATAAAGAATGATAGAATTTGCCTGACTTCAGTAAGCTCTTTCAGAGACAAAACTGGATACATTTTTTAACGCTGCTGCATTAACAACATTTGTTAACTATTCCATGTCAGTTCAGCAGCTAATTTCTTACCTCTGCTGGCTGCCTCATGAGTTGGGGAAGGAAGACAGGACTCCCACTGAGCTTTGGCACCATACTCTAACAAGAGCTCAGCACATGATGCACTGCCTCTTGAACATGCATTAAATAAAGGTGTCACTCCGTCAATTGTTGTAGCGTTTACCTAGAATACATAAGATCTCTTTAAGAATAGAACTGAAATAACGGTATTTTTTTAAACAAGATGTAGGTAGTAACTGCATTAAAATACTAACAAATTTACTGCTTAGAATAACATAGCTTAACTGCTGAGTCCCTATGCTGCCGATCACCTCTCACCACACTCCTCAGTTGAAACTAGTTTGTTGAATAATACAAAATACACCTAGAATCCTAAAGACCACACATTTATATTCAGGCAGTAAATGACTTAATTTTCAAAAAGTTTTGAATTTTCAGAAGTAATTGTACTTAGCTCTTTTCGTTGATAACATCAAAATTATACACTGTGTTGCAATATTGGAGACCTTCTGTCTGTACCTCTGTCAGACTGCATAGTTCATATTAAATGCCATTTTCTTCTTTATTTTTTACCTCTGTGTTGGAGTGATATTCCGTGGGATAGAGACTTAATAAGAGAGGCTCACTGTTTTTACACCAACCTAGCCCCCTACTAAAATAACTGAATTTTGTCAGTCTGAGAGAATGACAGAGAGAGTGAGCAGGCAAATTTCTGAGGGCTTATGATACTAAAAGAAGGGGCACAGGTATGTGGAGAGAAAACTTTCCAGGATTCTGGCATATTCTCCTCTATGCCTTCTCATTTCCCCCACATCCAATGGTCAAAAGTACTAAAAAACTAGCGAGGGGGAAATACAATTTGTTCTTATAGGTTTGTCTATAGCGTGTATAGGTTTATGTCTTTAGAATCCCTTGTGTTAGCTGCAGTGGAAAGGAATTGTTTTTGGAACACACCTATAATTTTTTTTTCTTCTGTAGACATTTTTCTACACTTTTCTGAAAACTAACATGTAAGGTCAATCTTTCCACCATAAAGAACAGCAGTTTGGGAAAGCACACATTTAAACTGCTGGGGAGTCGGATGTCAGCCTGGATTGTAGTGAAAGCGACCTGTGAATTCCGATTTTTATTTTGGGATAACAGCTAGAAAGCCTGTTTCAGGAATAAAGAAAAGAGCCAGTGCTCTTCTGTACTCAGACTAAAGAATCTTAAGAGTGTGCAGGTGTAGTCTGACAAACGATACTCTGGAGATTAAAAGAATTGTTTCTTACAAGCCACTCAGAGAAAGAGAAAGCCAGCACAGGAGAGAGACATATTCTACATTTTGGAAGAGAAATAATGTAATATAATTTAGAAGAGAAATAATGTACAGCTGGTGACACACTACAAACAGATTTTCTCCAATTCATTAATCTATACTACTGTCTTCTCAATTCCCATCTATTTTTCCCTGTTATTGCTCTTCTGTCAGATATCTACTCTTACACATACCCTTACATGGTCTTTTTCTCTCTCATTTTGTTTTTTACTTATCATCTCTCTGATGGTGTTTCTTTGACCCATCGCTTTCCTTTGCTAGCTTTCAGATGGCAACTTGCTGCAATTAAATGAAATCAATGCAATCAATAGAGAGAGTACAGAAAAATAACAATTAAAAAAAAAAAGGAATATATCCTGCTCAGGTAGATGAAGGTACTAGAATTCATATAGAAAAAGAAAGTCACGTTTGCTCCTGCTTCAAGAAGGATTCTTGCACAGCCAACATGATCTCCCAGGCACGCTTCATGAAGTGGAGTAACTTGGTCAATTGTTAGTGTGTCTACGTTGTAGCCCTAAAGAAGATATAAATACAAAGATTATAGAAAAGCTGTTAAGAGTCATTTCCTTACACTGCCATGCAGAAGAACAGTTTATATTACTCTAAATATGCTTAAAACTCTCCATGCAGTACATAAATCGAGTGAGCACAAAATGGATCTTTCATCAATCAGTGTAGATAAGAGAATGTAAATATGCTTTCAGCTCTTCTTTTTTTAAATTAGAAATATTAAAGACTGAAATAGGGTATAAAGGTATAAAGAGGGTGTAAAGAAGATGGAAGCAGACTCTTGATGTGCAGAGTGATAGGACAAAAGGCAACAAAACACAAGTTGGAACATAGGGAATTTCAAGTAGTTATGAAGGAAAATTCTTCCACCATGGAGGTGGTCAAACCCTGGAACAGAAGTCCAGAGAGGTTGGGGAATCTCCACCTGTGGACTTCTTTAAAACTTTACACATCCCTGAATCTAAACTGTTATGTGATTATACGGTTCTCTGCCTTAAGGTCAAGTGGGTTTCAGCAAGAACAACTGTTCTCAGATTGATAAAATAATGGAGCCCTTGAAATTTTCTGCAGTAGGTGTTTTTGTTTCTTTAAAGCTAATCAACATCTTTATTGGCTTATATCAAATATATTCTCTGGTATAACTGATCAATGTCGTAACAGATAATATGACACAATACTGCAATATTAAAATTCAGTGATTTACATTCTCTCTCTTTGCTATTAAAAAAAAATTTCTTGTTTTAATCAGAACCATGCAAAAAACAGAATCAATGATTCTTCCCCATCAACAAGTTTCTTTCTGACCAGCTCTATTTACCTGAGGACTCAAATTAGTGGAACTACAGGGACAGAAGAGGGGGAGAGTGATGTACATTTAGATACAAAGATTAATTTTTAGAAAGCTTTAAAATAGGCAAAATATTTTAAATATTAATTTACACCTTATACTATTACAATTCCCAAATGCTTTGAAACATTCAGGTCGAAAAAAAAGCGAAGCAAAACATACTAAATCCACAGTAACAATCTATGCTGAGAAATTAAGTAATATTATAAAGGAAAGGAATTTTAAGAACACAGCCTTCACCTGTGACAATAAAGTCTTTAGAGAAAGAAGACGTCCTTGACTGGCTGCCTCATGCAGAGGTGAGCGATCTGCCCAAGAACCTATATAATAACAACATTTATTGAGTAAACCATATAAATCAGAAGGATTCTGGAATGAATATAGCAAGGCAGAAAAGATAATACTCAGAATGAAGTCAACTGTCCTGTGAAATGAACTGCTCCCCTTTATAAACTGTATTTCAAATTATCAGTTTCTAGACAAGAAAGTTATATTAACTGTAAGCATTTATATTAAATGATTCTATGGTACAGAGGAGAACAAAGTACTGATATGCTTATTATTACTGTGATTTAATAAATTCATCAATTTTTACAAAAATCATGTAACTTATTTTGTGGTTGTCACAGAGAAACTTATAAATTTCAACACATTGATATTTAGACCTAAAACAAACAAACTTGCCTGGAAAAGCACTAAAAACGCTGCTAAGGTGTATGAAATTCAATAGGAAAATCCCTATGCATGATGAGATTCACCTGCTGCTACTACACAAGTGCAAAGAGAGAAATACAGAGTGAGAATCCATCTTCCATTCCAAATTATTTGCCATCTTCTGGAATGCACTGTGCAGTACTCTCAAAAAATTCAGCAAATCAGTAGGATTTTACAAACTAGTGATGAGAATGGGCACAGAATTACATGAAGAATGACCGAAAAGATTAAGACTGCTCAACCAGAATAGAAATGAGGGGATAGTTAAAAACATATAAAATAATGGGCAGTATGGAAAAGATAAGAACTTCTAGTTTCCTTTTCCCAGAACTAAAGGAGTCATTCTATGAAACTGCAACTTAAGCAGACCATCTTCTCACAGAATATACAACTACGCTGTGCAACTCAGTGCCACTGGATGCTATTGGGACAGGTGGAAAAAAAAAAAGAAAAATGAAAGCACCCCTGAACCTTTACATTATCACAAGACTAGATAGAACTGATTATAGAACTAAAATACTGGCAATTAAAACATCTCAATCAGGACCTTAAAAAGGCAAGAAGATTTCTATTATGTTGTAGTGTCTAATACCTGTGAAGCTTTTTGAACTGTTTTTCATCTGTAGGAATAGCTAGACCACAGGTAAGATCGAAATTCTAATATTTTTTCAGAACTATTTGCTCTAAGCTCTGATTTTGTGTGTGTGTGTGTGTGTGTGTGTGTGTGTGCGCGCGCGCGCATACATATGTGCATACACACACGCTGTTCCCTTTACTTTTTATTTTGCATTCATTAAACGAACTATTCTGCAATTCTTACTTCTAGTGAGAATAGCTGAGGAAAAAAATAAACACATACAAGTTGTTTGGGATTTTAGGAGGCTTGATATTACAATTACAGAGCTGAGAAATTTTAAATTGACCTGATATTTAGAAAGTGTCAACATTTCCTCTCCCACTCTAATAAGCTCAAGTATACTTATCCTATTACAAGGTGGATGTGTACAATCACTATGAAAATTTTGACCAATGCTCTCCTCCTTCTTTAGAGGGAACCAGCACTAAACCAAGCTTTCATAAACAATGAATATATTAACTTCTGCTACGGGCAGCTGCAAAGAACTGCTCAAAAATCATTAAAAGTTGTATTTAAAAGCTGGTTTTGAAATTTTGTCCCTATGTCTTCAATGAAGATAATTTCTCTTTCTCGACAGTTTATTTTATTCCTAAATTACGAGGGAAAAAAAGGCAGACACTTAACTATTATATAGAAAACAACAAATACAATTTTAAATGCCATTAAGTCTTCATGCACATTAAATATATTCATTCTCAGGACATTATTGTGACCACATATAACTCTAAACTGAACAAAGATGCAGGCAGGATCTCAAAGAAATGCTTTTTGTATTCTCCCTTCCTATATATCCTTCCCTCCTAGATTGCTCAGAAGAACGTCTGTTGATATCATTACGTCAGTGACATTTGAGAAACAAGTGATGCTGGATCCCATTCCAAGCTCCATTTTGCACCTAGACATACTTTATATCCCTGCTTTCAAGTAGAGATATTGAAGAGCTAACTGTTTCTGCTAAATCTATTAAATAAAAAATGCTTAGTTTTGTTATCAGCTCTATATAAAAAAAAAATCTGTAAGTATAATGACCGCAGACAGATTTTGTTCAACCCAAGTTTGGAACAACTTTTCACGTTCTAACTGATTTATCATTAAGCACAATATTTCATCATTGAATATCAAGTGGATAAAAACATGTTCAAAATAAATACTTATCTTATAAATAAATACCATAGGTTTCTTCAAAAGAATTAATTTTTTGTCTAGTTTCCTGCCTCCTGCTACAAATTTGCCATTTCTCTTACTTAGAAAGCATTAACAAGAACATAAATGAATAAATTTTAAAGTCATTGTTGTCTCTAACGGTGGTATTAGCAAACATATTCTACTCAAAAACTGTTAATGTATTAAGTCCCTACTGACGTAGTCTCTGACAGATGCTGAAGACAAAGTATCTCTAACTAAATTTAGAAACCACATTAGTTCCAAGCTCACTCATATATAGTTTACCAGGAAGGGCAGTCCACACTGCTCTGTAAACACTAAAGATATTCATTGTATTATCAGGCAAGGTTAAAAGAAATTATTACAAAAGATCATACAATACCTAAATCTCCATCTCCCCATGGCACTTCCAGCCAGCAGCAATTATAAATCCTACTCATTTCTTTCAATCCGAAATAAAAATCTGTTCTTGCTAGTTGGGCCTGTTCCTAATGCAGTCCAGCTATGTTTGGAAGGAGATCAGCAGCTCACTGTAATATGAACTTTCACCTGTAAAACCCTGCAGTAAACACAGCTCTAAGATATGAACTCAAACAGCTGCCAGTTTCTTTTCTTATTATAAAGGGCAGTGGCTCTTTTTTTTTTTTCCCTTTAAAAAAAAAAAAAAAAGAAAAAAAAACAACTTTGAAAAGTGCCAGCATCTATGCATGTGCTTTCCAAGAGAGCCTAACTGGAATTTCAGCAAGAGGGAAATTCACAGTGAAATCAACAGAAGCTTGAACTGCAGAACTGCAGGACAAACTCTTCCTTCTTTAACCTCATGTAATTAGATACATGAATCAATAGTTTAGTATCTTCAAAAATCAGTATTAGCAAATAGCTTTGTAAGGGAAGCACTGCCAAACGTTCACATGGTATTTTTTTCTCACAATATATTAGAAAACAAGTAAGCATAGAACGTTTCAAACATGGCAGATGCTACTCATTCTGTACACTGAACGGCGTTTTTGTTTTAGCAGTTCACTACCGTGTCAATTAAGTTCTTAACTATTTGGGGGCCATTAAACTGGGTTTTTTGATAACTATGTGTCAGCAGTGAAAGTCTCACCTCTTTAAACTACACATTATTATATATAGCTAGAAATTATAAACATAACATATAATTACTCTGTGTGTATGTATGTGCATATACATATGTGCACACGCATGAAAGAGAAATGCTGACTGGTTCAAAACCAATGTTCTTTCCAGTGTTCATCATCACATAGACTTTCAAAATGTGAGGATTTAATTCCAAATTCAAATGTCGACAACTTCCAATGTTTGAAAACTATACAAAACAAAATTTATTTCCCACACAGTTCAACGTCTGATACAGCCATATTATATGCTCACACATTATTTTTGCCAGACTACCTGTGTCATATCCAATGAATAAGTTAGCATTCAAATTATTTTATATCTTCATGTCTCTTGCTCTTTAACACACGCTATCCAAACCACAATCTGAACATAAAAACATTAATTTATATTGTCTTTTCCATGGTATTCTCCCAATAACAAAAGAATACTTCAAAACCCTTGTCCAACAAGGACAACATTGTCCATTCGTACTATTTTATAACTACAGAACTAAAAGACATAACTGTAAGGCTCAAATTGTAAAACAGATATAATAACCTATTTTTTCCAGAGTAGTTAGCCATTATAGCCTACAACAAAAGCATCATTTAATTAGAGTTATGAGAGCTTGGAACTTCTGAAATTTCGGCCTTGGATAATATCAAGAATAACTATGATCACTCCAAAGTTTTAGGACAGATAACTCATCTTGAACCGTCTAGATGCCACAGCAGAGACAAGCACAGAATCCAATTTCAGAAATGAAACTCAAAAAAAAATTATCCCTTTTTTCTTGTGAATTCTTACTTCATTCACTACATGCCTTCTAACCTTTCCAATAAATAGGAAAACACTGGGTATATTTTTCCATATATACATCTAATCCATTCTCAGAATATAGTCCATCTTGTGCACTGAACGAAGTAGAAGTTCTGTAAAAAAAAGTACAAACGAGGTCATGTTGTCAAATTTTGTCTTACAACACATCGGAGGGTCAAATCAGCGTGACAGAGGCAACGTATCTTTTAACATTTCCTAAATTTGGAGTGTTTGGAATTGCAACTCAACATACTTTTAACAGAGAAACATGAGCTACAGAAATGTATTAAAAGTCCTTTAAAAAAGCAACAGCAATATCCAAACAAGGCTTGCTTGGCTCCCACCAGTATAGAAGCGACATTATGCTACACAAAGGTAGTGGTACTGGCAATGGCAGCAGCAGTTGTTCCTGGCTCTGTATTGGGCCTTGCATATGCAGGAAGAAGTGTGTCAGGCCCCTTCTCTTGTCATGTGAAAGCACAGCAACAACCGCTCCTTCCTCTGTCCGTTAGTCACATAGTTTGTTTTTCCACCTTCCTGAAGGATCAACAATTGGCTAGATTTTTGTCCAGCATAAAGTAGCTTGCAAACTAGCAAACTACGCCACAGCAAGAGTACCAAGATGTAAACTCATATTAACCGCTAAACTTCTATAATCAATGGACTGTTAGACCCACATAATATTCTTTGATTTGTGTGTGGAGCAGCTGGTAGCACTCTTAGGCTGTTAATATTTCCTTGAACTAATAACTAAAGCAAAAAAAGAATTTTTCAGTGGACTTTCCAAGTAGCAGCTGACAGAAGAGGAATACTGACTTTCTGAGCTGACATCAGATCTTGGACGACTTTTTCTAAAGGAATTTG